AGTATAACATGATTTTAGGGCTCGCATTTCAATTCTGCTGCATTTTTATGGGACAAGTGGAGACTGAGCGCCTGGAGTTATTAGGTTAGTATCTAAAATGGGTTCAGCGCTGTGGGTCCTTTTGTTTCAAATGAATTAGACGGCCCCCTCCCACCTTCCTCTCTCCTCCCTCGGGATGAGCGGATTGAGGCGAGGCCCCCAGAGACTAGTTGAAGGAATCCTCGTGCTTTGATTAGTTTTGTTCTCTTGCTTAATTGTGCAGCTTCCTTGCTCCCTCCGCTGAGAACTGGAGTGGCTCAGTGTTTTGTCCCCCTCCCCCCTGTGCTTTAGGAATAAGATTATCACAATGCGGCTGTGTGAATCAATTTTCTCTCTGTGCTGATGAAAGTGTAATTCATTCTTAATCAAGCAGCCTCGCTGCCGCAGGCTCCATGCCGGAATCCATCCAGTTGCCCTCCCAGCACTTTGGGAAACGATCCCCCAAAAGGACTTTCAGAGGAGAGCCAGAAGAGAGGCCGCCTCGCACCTCGTGCTGTGGCTTTCCAGCAGGGGGCGCTCTTGGGAGTGGCGCTGGAGGAGGCTTTGTAGCTGGGAGCCTTCTGCTGCCGGGCAGGGGAGCCCTTCTCACGGGGGCCTTCCAGCCTTGCTGTCTCCACACCCCGGCCGTTTCTCATGAGCATCTCGATGGGCTGCCGAAAGCCTCGCGCAGCAGTGAGCAGGAGCGGTTGCATCTGCATCTTGCATGCCTTGGTTAGGAGAACCGGCTGGGCACCAGGTCCCTCTCTACGGTTGACAGGAGCCAGCCTCCTCTGTCTGTTTAAGGAGACAGATGTGTGTCCCGAATCTGAACTCGTTTAGACTGGGTGGCTGTGTCCGCTTTTGTCAGGCCACACACACTTCGGGGAGCGTCAGGAGGCCTATACCCTTTCACAGCCTGGTGGCCATCACCGGCACCTGGCAGGTAGACGGAGAAGCGGGCAGGAGGAGAGGGACTCTGCCAGGGTTGAGTCCCCACGCTGGCCAGGAAGCAGGAGCCAAACCCCAACAAGTGGATCAGAGGCCCCATAAGATAAAAACAAAGCCGTGTGGATCTGCAGCAAAGAAAAAAAAAAAGGAAGTTTGTCTCCTCAGAATGGAATTGGATTAGTGACAGGCTTGAACAGCCGGTTCAGTGAAGAGAGAACTTAATTCCGCCTGTATTATTCACACGGCTGATTCTAATCAGATGTGAAGAGACAGCTGGAAGAGAGCAGCAGGTCAGCCCAGCGCCTGGTGAGGAGACTTCGTGTTCCTTTAGTCATCTTTAGGGACCCGGCGGGAGCTCTGGGCCGGAGCCGTCGAGCAGGCCTGTGCTTTCGGCTTCCCAGAGGCGCCGGGCCCGGCTGCCAGAGTCCCGTGGTTGGTCCCCGTCTGGATTCAGTGGGAGTTCTGAAGGACAGTGCGCAGCAGACGTGGTCACCCACGTTCACCAGAGCTCTGCCCTCTTGTCCTCAAAAGGATCCAAAGGAGCTGGACCAGGCTCGGCAGCTCCCAAAGTGACACAGCCATTGTCCTCGAGGCCCTGGCTGTGTTAATATACTGCTCCACCGCCTGCTACAGTTCAGAGAGCTCTTCCTGCATAGCGCTGGAGATCCGCCCTGGCAGTGTGCATCTGAGGGATCCCTCCCTCCTGGACACCCGGCGCCCCAGGCAGGCAAGGCCACGTTGCTTCAGTTCTCAACTCAGTGCGACATGGGACGAGGTGAGGGCCTTGGTCGGATTGTCTTCAAGGCACCTCTGGCGCTGGCAAGCGGAGGTGTTGCTGGGCCGGGGGAGCCAGGCCGGTCGCTGAGCAGGAAGATGGGCCAAACGCTGACACAGGCTCGCGCACCTTATGGTGTAAGAGGGTCACAGGGAAACCAGGAGACTTGCAAGCCGACTTTCATGAGTTTAAAAAGAAGTCCCGCAGAGGCGGAGTTTATTTTATGAAAGGCTAGCTATGTGCTGTGTCCTCAGAGCCCTGGCCTTATCTTTTATGAATACCTCCTACCTGTAGCTGTGCTGTAAATGTGACTGTCAGCAAGCTTTCTAGAAGACTCTGTCTGTTCTAGAAGCAGCAGGTGGTGAAGGATCCCACAGGTGAGGGGAGCCTGCCCGCTGGAGCTGTGGGGCAGCGGCCAGGCCGGGAGCGCAGGTGGCAGGGCTCTTTGCAGTGCCCGGGGGAAGCTTCCTGAGCTGCTCTGTAGCCGAGGGCCAACGGCTCCCCTGAGCTCCTACCGGAAGGAAAGAAGCCCAAGTCTCATCTCGCTGCCTGCCTTTCCCGCCTGCTCCCCAGAGTAAGCTGGTGCCCTCCTGCTGGGAGAAGGGCATCTTGGTGTCTTAAGACAAATGACACCCCTGAGGTGGAAGCAGGCAGAGGCCAGGGTGGCCACTGGGAGGGTTCCAGCAGCAGGGAGTGGCCTTGTGCAGTAAACCCTTCTGACTGGGGTTCCCTTGGGATTGGAGCTGCCAAAACTGTACGATACAGAGAGGGTCACGTGTGGCAACAGCCAGCCCTGCCTGTGGGGCCGGGGCGGTGGCACCAGGAGGCTCCCAGGCCCCTCTGGCAGCAGCCCTCGCTGATCAACGTAGCCAGGTCGTGGCCGCTTCTGTCCGGTGGATGTGCCTTTCCCTCTAACCACGTCAGTGCCTTCTGGAAGCCTGGCACCCCCTCCTTTTGCCACGACCACGTGTCTGTGGGGCTTTCCTACTTCTGCGTGGTCAGCCCATCCCACTTCCTGTGTACTTTTCCGTGGTGCTGAGATAAACTCCGGTTCCTGCGAGGTAAGAGGCCGGCTCAGCCCTGCAGGGCAGCTGGGGTGGGGATTGGGAAGCGTCCCGCCCACCCGGAGAGCAGTTTGCATCCTAACAAGCACATGCTTGAGTAACTGGAATCTGGTGCTGCCGGCGCTGCCAAAACCCTCCCTTGGCACCTTGAGGGGACAGCCAGCACGCTCCTCGGGTAGAGGATCCAGGAATTCTTGGAGCCAACATTGTACAAATGGGCAGGAGGCTCTCAGAGGCCCCCACAGCCTGGGCTCCCTGCCTGGGGAAGTGGCCAGGCCTCTCGGCATTGCTTACCCCTCCTCGGAAGCTGTGGAGGCCAGTGCCACGTGTGACCCTGCTGTCGCCCACACCCCTTCCTAACGGGCACTCTGCTCTGCTCCCCCAGGATGAGAGGAGCCAGAGCTGGGGGAAGGGAAGAAACGTGCCACTGCTATTAGTAGTAACAGCTGCTGAGTTCCCACCATGCACCAGCCGTGGGGCTGAGTGCTTCACACGCGTTCGCCAGTGTCTCTGCACGTCACCCAGTGAGGAAGCAGCTGCCGTTACCCCTGCTTCACGGTGGGGCACTGAGGCCAGAGGGAGTAAGTGACCCGCCTAGGGCCACACAGCTGGTCAGCGGCCCCAGACGGGCCTTCAGTCAGGCTGTCAGTGGTGCCCGTGTCTGACTCAAAGTGGCTGTGGTCAGGGCCCTGTCCCGTGTCCTCCGAGGAGCCGGCCTGAGGTCTTCTCACAAGTGTGAAGAAATGTGAGGAGAGACGTCGGGTTTCACACCTTTAGGTTTAAACCCTCTGCCAAGAGGATTTTTGTCCCAGTAGTTCTGTGGCATCTGCCATTCTTTCTTCCCTCTTCCCAGTTAGCATCCTGGTCCCCATTATCTCAGGGCACAGAACTCCTGGCACTTGTCCTCCGATTGCATTTAGGAAGAAACCCCTCCAAATGCAGCGCCCTTCTAGAGGGGTCCAGCTCAGCAAGGAGCGCGCTCCGCATGCCCGTCAGAACCGGGCTTTCCAGCGGGCTTCTGAAAGTGATTCCACCGCAGAAAACAGCTCAGAAGCCTCCCTGCACTCAGCTTGTTAGTCAGGAACTTCAAGCCCAAAAGATTTGGCAGGATTTGAAGAATTGCTCAAGCTGTCTCGCTCCAAGCACGCTAATGCTGCCTGTCTTTTGATGGTGAAGTGGTCGGGGTGGAATCTCCCTCCCCTGCCCTTTGCGGAGCCGCGAACGGCACTGACTCTTCACGTTCAGAGACTGCCAGGGCCCCAGAGGATGGGCCAGACCATCTAGCCCACCCCCTGGTTACCTCCTGAGGAGAGGGCTCAGAGAGGTCAAGAGTGTCCACTGAGGCCACACAGCAAGCTGGTGACAGAGGAGGCTAAGTGTTTTGGAGGCTATGAAGGTGGATAGTGTGGCCTCCTTGCCCCCAAGCTCTCCTGCAGGAAGCCCCAGAGCTGGATATGGAACACACAGTCTCGTCCAAGGCGTTGATTTCAGGAGTAGAGCAGGGAGCAGGGCAATGGGAGAGCGCTTGTGCCAGAAGCTTCTGTTCTGGGAGATGCTGGGAAGTGGCCTACAGAATCAGGGGCCTATTAGGAGGTCACAGTTGCTGGACAGAGCAGGGCTCACATGCACCCCTCCCCCTGCCTGCACCCAGCCCTGCTTGGAAAGCCTGTTGCCTCCCAGCTCGTGGACAGAGACCCTCTCTCAGCTGCTGGGTCATGGGCAAGTCTGTTCGGGGCCACCTGGGGAACCAAGAGTAGAAGGGACAAGCTCATCCTCATCTGACACAGGCCTGCCTTGCCCGAGGCCATGTCGCCTTGCTCAGACGTGACCCCAGGGTGTGAGGACCGAGATGCTTACCCTGCCAGGGCCAGTGTCACCGCAGACAGCACACCACGTGGGGCAGCTCAGACACTTTTGTAGACGGGAATGTGAGAATCTAGGGATCCCCTGTCCTCTGTGAAAAGGTGGCATTGATGACGTGTTGCTGCTGACATGTCCACCAGCCTTCCCTCCTGGCATGTCCTCATGTGTCACCTCCTAATTTGATTTCATGGGCAAATCTGGAAACTTATCTGGGATTGACCGCCAACTTCGTGAACATCTGAACAGTCTTCCCTTCCACTCCCAACCGATGGGACCCGAGTGACAGAGCAGAAATCCCATCCCCTCTCAGCTTCTTCTCTGCTCTCTTACAGCTCACCTTGCAGAGTGCCAAGTCCCGAGTGGCCTTCTTTGAAGAGCTCTAGCAGGTGACCCAGCCACCCCGGATCTGCCACTTCTGCTGCCCCCAGCACCAGCGGGATGGGCCGGACACCGTGGGAACCATCCGTGGGGGGCCGGCTGTGGGCTTCCCTGGGAGCTCCAGAACTTTCCCCAGCTGAGTGGAGAGCCCAACCTCCTTTATGTGCAATTGCCTTGAACTATGACCCTGCAGAGCTTTCTGTCATGGTGTTCTAGTTCTCCTGACCCGAGTCTCTCTTTGTCTTCCTTTGTCCAATGTGGGGGTCCCCTACATCCTTGGCCCAAGGTGCGCGGTGTGCGTCTTCGCGTCCAGTGCTGGCCTCCACAGCCCAGTCTGGGAAGTGCGTAGGGGTGAAGTGCAGGGGCTCTGGGGGCCAGGAGGCTAGTGCCACCACCCTTACTTCACCCAGGGTTCCGGAACGTCCATCCCCTCCATGGGTGAGGACCTGCCGTGCAGTGAAGAAGCTCAGCCCGGCTGAGCCCAGGCCCGGAGCGGCCTGCCTGCCTCACGTCGTCGGGGAGCTTGCCCGCAGCTCATGACGAGCAGAGTGCTGGGTCCCCGCCAGGCACCCCCAAGGTGGCGCTCTGGGTGCCAGCTGGTGGGGAGTAGGCAGGGCAGCTGTGCCCGGGGAGGGATTTTAGGCAGAAGCTGTGAGGGCGGGCCGGCTGCCAGCCCAGGGGCTGGGAGGCGAGTGGAGCCCCGGAGGGAGCTGACGGTACAGCGCTCTCACCCCCTCCCCCGCCACCCCAAACCCCGAAGCTGAGAGGCAAGTGGGGGCCACAGGGGTCTTTCCTGTCCCCTGGCAGCCTTGGCACCTCCTGCCTGTGGGGGCTGGGCACTCCCCGGTCGTGCTGTAGTCAGCACCCGGCAACCCAGCCCTGACCTCCGAGGCCCCACAGGTACTTCTCTCTGGCCCAGACACCGAGCTACACTGGTGCTGTCTGTGGCACTGATCTGCATCGGCCACCCTCCTGGCCAGGTGCCAGCAAGCCCTTCCCAACCCACTGCTGTGCCTGGGCCTCGTCCCCCGGGGTCTCTTTGTTTCCTATTCCCTCGGGGGCCCAGTGGGGTCCCTTTGTGCCCCTCCCAGCACAAGCCTGATGCAGCTGTCCACTCGGTGCTCGCACGGGCTGGCACACGACTCCCTCCGTGCCAGGCAGCAGCGGGTCACAGAACCACCCCGGGGGCCACCTTCTTGCCCTTTCTTTTCCCCACGGCTGGTGCTGCTGCTCTGGCCACCTGGAGCCCTTTACATCCTTCTAGACAGGCCATTATGCACAGCAGGTGCTGCGTCTTAACTCGGTGAGAAGACACTTATTAGCTGAAGACGGATGAGGGCTGGAGAGTTCCGAGGGCAGCGGTGGTCGCTGGCAGTTCTAGCTGGCCTTGGAAAACTGAGGAGCTCGCGGGGATCCTGACTTTCCCACTGTCAGGCCGACCCAGCAGGGTCCTTCTCAGGCCACCTTGCCCTGAGGAAGCCAGCCCTGTGTGTCACCCCAGCCCCTGAGGGCATGCAGGGTGGGACTCCACATCTGGAACCTGAGTGTGGATGGTGGTGGCTGGGAGACTGTCCCTGTGTCTTCCTCGCAGGGGAGCGTCCCCAGGAGCCGAAGCCTGAGGCGTCTGTGCAGTGAGGTCTGGCTCACCCATCCCTGAGTGTCTACACCTGTTACTTTCCTCCTGATCTATAAATTTGTTCTTTAACTATGGCTGCAGGGCTTAGAAGCATGATGGTGGTTTATAAAAACGATGTCAGGCTTCGTTTTCTTATTCCTTAACTGCTGTGTACTTCTGAAGTCCAGAAATGCCAGGCCACGTGGCCTCAAGGGAGCTGGCTGGTGCCTGAGCTGTGGCAGGAGCACCGGGCCCGGGGAGCAGGCGGGGGGTGTGGGGGGGCCAGCAAGGCCCGTCAGCCAGCGGCACTCGTTCCCCTTGAAGCAAGAGCTAGTGGCACCTCCCCGCAGACGGATGAGAGGACCGTGGCCTCGGGAAGGTCTTGAGCCCCAGTAGCAGGAGAAAGAGTGAAAAAACTGCTCGGTTTTCAGAGCCTTGTGCCTGTGGCTGAGGTGACCGTGTCCTTGTTAAGTGAACGTTTTCAGAGCCTGGGCGCTTGTCAAGTCAGGAATCCGTGAAGCCCATTGCGAGCAGCGCCCTGGCCACGGTTTCTCATTACGAGCTTCTGATGGCTCTCGGGCAGAGGCACTGCCACCCTGAAACTGTCCGGGACGGCACTGCCCAGCTCGTGACACTCCATGGGGCTGTGCTATTGGCCGGTGGCTACTGGGGACAGACCACCTCATCCATCCCGACTGAGGCCCCATCTCAGCCCCAGCAGCGCCCTGACCTGTGGCATTTTCCCGATTATTCACGTGCCCGCCAGGCCCTGCTAGACAACACCCCGCGGCATTACGTAACACTTCCTGAGTGACTGTGTCTTGTAATCTTGGGGACAGGTTTCTCTCTCTCCCTTTCTTTTCTTTTCCAAAAGTCCAGAGGCTGACAACCGGGAGGGTTACTAAGTGTTGCTCGCTGACAGGCTGGGGCCTCGCAGCCCGGGAGGGGCAGTGCTGGCGGGAGACAGCCCTTCCCAGTCGCCCTGGGGCCACGGCGGCCCTCGTGGGCTTTCAGGGAAGCACCATCCGTTTTCAAAGCTGTCAGAGATGTCAAACGGCACTTCGTCCTGTGGGGCCTGAGTCCCACCTCCTGTCAGGGCCAGACGGTGGAAGGCTCTTTTCTGCTCTGGGGGACTGTTGTAATTTAAATGATCATTTTAATAAAAATTCTAAGCTGGAAAAAGTTGGTCTCAGGCTTCCTCAGTTTGCTTGTCACTCAGGACATGGAGGCAGCCAGACGGGCTGGTGCGGGGCCGGCTCTCGTGGTTCTGTGAGGAAACAGCCCCTCGGCCCTCCCTGACCGCCCGGGCCTTCGACTGCAGACCCTTGTGTTGGTGGCAAAAGGACGCTTCCTTCCGTGCTGATGACGGCACCCCTAGCGACACCTTCACCTGGGAACTCCCTCCCTCTTCCCGTGGGGCCTGAGGGGATCCTGGGGGTGGTGAGGGCCCTACATGGGGTCCCAATGCCTCCATTTCCCCTCCGCACCTGGTTCCAGACCAGAAAACTAGGGCGCTGGGCTGGGTGTCCCCTCCAGACATTTCTGCTTCCGAAGGTCCCCATTCTGGGCTCTGGAGGGTCGGGGCATGAGGGCCCCTGGGGCCGGGTGCTGTCGGCAGAGCCACTGAGGCACAGCTACTGTCACAGGCCTACACGACATTTGCACTTGAAGTTGGAAACCATCACTCCAGAGCTTATGTTTTTTGTGTTTTGTTTCTATTTTTTTAATTGATAAAACTCCTTTATTTTGACCAAAACTACTATAGGATAACTCTGTCCCAAATCACTGCAGCCTAAAATCAGAGATTGAGATGGCACAACATGGTTATCAGGACTTGTAAGAGACGTGCCTGCCACACTTGTCAGAATACACTTCAGGTGTCTGTTGTACAAGCCAATAAAGAAAATCACCCATCAGAATACACAAAAAATTGCTGAAATGTTTGAGTTAAACATAACTAGTTTTTTATATATTTTGGAAAGCTGAAGTTGATAAATTAGAGAATTATGAAAGTTTTTACATTTTTTATTAGCTTTGAATATACAGAATTAGCAACCAGATTTTTATTAGATAAATAATACGAAACTTCTTCCCTTCTCAAATGGAGATTGTTATTTTTAGTAATTGGAAGCAGTTTGATTTCCTTATGTAGTCTAAGCCAGAGAAAGCACTTCGAGAATACTGGTCATTTTAAGCTGTCCAGACAATATTTTTACCTAACCTTTTTGTAAAAGACAACCTCAAACCCCAAAAGACAATGACATGCTCACACTGAGATCCGAGGTCCCCATGAAGTAGGGTTAGAATTAATAATATCGCCTGGCATTTTGATACTGAGATCGGCCGAGTTCTTTGTTGGTTTTTGTTTTGTTTTTTTTTTAGTTTGTGGTGACCCTGCTGTGAACGCCAAGCTGTTGGCCCAACCTCGGAGCTTAATTGTGGCACTTGCAGCTGGTCCCACTGGATCCCTGAGCGGATCATTCTGGCCTGGCTGCCTCTGGTCGGCGCCCGAGTGGGGAGTGCCTGGCAGCTGCTCCCCAGGGCCGCCTACCCCAGCAGCCTTCGCCTGGAGGAGCGGATGAGGAGCCACCCACGTGTACTCAAGAGTTGGCAGCAGGACTCTGGGGGGAAAGGTATTGTGAGAAGATTGCTGCGACTGTGTCTAATCCAATTTCTTGCCCGTCTGGGGAAGAGAACGTCAAGCCATCCGCGTGTTCTCCGTCTCCCTCTCAGACAGCCCAGGCGGCCTCATCCCCAGCCAGGAGAGGCCAAGGGCTCCCCTCCCAGGCCACTTGGGGCTCCCTGGCAGCCTGTCATCACTGCATTATGGCAGGGTCCTGCGGCCACAGTCCCAGCTCTGGTGGGGATGCAGCTCCTCCCAGGGAGACAGCTCCGGACCTCTGTGCGGTGACAGGGGCAGCTGGGGGGTGGGGGGAACTACAAGCCGTTCATCAGCACGGCAAGGACTCTAGCTGACTCAGGGAGGAACCCCCATCGTGTCCCCTCCCCGTTTCCACTTGATGCCCATTTCTCACTGGCGTGGTGGCCCCAGAATAGCAACTGGCATGTTGCCTCTGAGCCGAAATCAAGACATCTGAGGAGCTCCGCTGTGGGAGCAGCAAGAGCCACCTCACCCTCCACTGAGCGGAGCACGTGCCCTGGGCCAAGGGCCTGGCGCCCCCAACCCCTCCCCCCGCCAGACCTCCTGCCCCCTCTGTAAGGGCACCGGGTAGGGGGGACATTGCCAGGTTAACCAGGAGAGTGGGAGACAGATACGCTCAGGTTTCTAAGAACCTGGACATACAGCAGTGCTACCGTTACTTACAAGTAACAGAGAAACGGGAAATTTCTTTACAACCAGCTGCAGGGTGAGCTGGGGAAACGCAGAGCCCTCCCTGACAAGGAGCTCAGACAAATCTGGGTTCAAAGCCCTGCTCCGCCATGGACCAGCCACGCAAGCCTAGGCAATTGCTTCATCTGTAACATGGGAATTTTATGGGGTGCTGTGAGGATTACTAAAGCCTGGAAAGCTCTAAGCACCCTTCCCAGATGTGTGTCACCACTCGGGGTGGGGGGACTCTTTTTCTAAATACTTCCTTTGGGGACGGGGCTGGAAGAAGCAGAGAAAAGAACCATGGTGACCTAGAGGATGTCGCAGCTCAGAGGGACCGGGCCTTCCCCGCGTGGGCCCCCATCACCTCCACCTGCACCCCGAGCTTAATGAACCTGCATCTGGCCTGTTTGTGTCGCTGTGTTTGCCCAGTGCCAGCCGCAAAGCCCAGGAGATGATAGATAACCCGGCCTGGAGCTTCCTGGGGAGGATGTTCTTGTTTTGTCTCGTTAATACCCGAGCCTCGGGTCAATAATTTACTGCAGGCTCGGGGTGGGAGAGAACTGGGTGGGCCACACCGGGCTCCGCACACAGGGCTCTTCTTTGACCCTGTGGGCACCCGGGCTGTAAGAACCAAACTGCGGGCACCTGGGAGGCACAGCGGTGACCTAATTTTCTCTTATCAGGCATAAGGGAGAAGTCCCCATGGAGCCTTGCCCATTTCCAATATAAATAATGTAATTCCCCTGCCTGCCTGCCTGCCTGCCGCCTCCAGGAGGAAGGGGCAGCCTTTGATCTGGAGGAATTAAGTCAGTAAACAAAGGAAAGGAGGCTGCTCAGGTGTCTGGGGCAGGCACCTGCTGTGCTGCTCACCCTGCGAGAGAGGAGTTAAATCCTGACAAATGGAATGGACCATGGGGACAGCCCAGCCTCATGCTGGGCCTCCCCAGGCTCTCCCTTAAATCTCCCTTTATGCCCAACTGAGCCCCCGTGGCGATGCCTCCCCAGGACCCCTGGCAGACACCTGCGTGCGTGGTGTCTCCTCCCTCCCCAGCAGCGCCCAGCTCGGGCCCTAGGTATTCCCCAGGGAGATGTGCGGGAGAAATGTGAGTGGTCTGGGGCGAGCAGCTTGGCCCCAGAGCCAGGGCTGGGGAGGAGCTCCACTCTGGGAGGGAGGGCCCGGCTGGCAGACCCCTGGGACTGCCTGTCCCAGCAGAGGGCAGCTCAGGCATCCAGCCGGCTGGCCATGGGCTCTGGTCCCTCCAGCTCTCTGCTTCCGGCTGTGTGGCCTTAAGTCCCTTCGGCTCTCTGGGCTTTCGTGCCTTGGCTGTAGAGGGCCAGGTTTGGACCAGAGGAACTCTGGGGTCCCTTAGGTCCCAATGCCACAGACTGGCCCCTGTCAAAGCAGCTTCACCTTCTGGAAAGCCAAAAGCAGAGTGATCCCAGGATCCCACTGGGGCAGCCACAGCCACGGCCATGGCCAGGAGCTGGGCTGGAACCAGGTGCTTTGCAGGGACAGCCAGCCTGGCCTGTGTTAGGAGTCCCACCTCACCCCTCCTTTCTCCCCCAGGCTCCCCTGGCACAAATTTGGGAAGGGCTGTTGTGCTGCCAGCGCCAGGCAGGGGATGGCCAGGCCCAGCTCCTGTCGCCTGGGTTAGAGGCTGGGGCTGGCATGAGCCGCAGTGTCGCCAGGCCTGCTGTGACAGTGGCTGTGCCCTGAAACCCACGGGGGACCTCCCTTCCTTGCCCACGCCTGCATCCTTCCCCCAGCCCTGCCTCCAGGCTCGCTGAGTTCCTGAGTTCCCCGGGCTGAATCTATTAAGTCCTTCATATTAACCAGCAAAGGGGGAAACAGCCCTCTTTCATCTTAACTGGAGTGAATTTGCATGAACACCTGGGGAGTTCTGTTTGCCTTGAGAAAGCACATTGCTATTCTGAGCTGCACACGCTGTGGAGTTAGTCGCAGTATCCTGTTCTTTTATTAATATGGCTTTTCTCTCCTCCCTCCTCTTTTCCAGGCAAGGGGGAGAGCGGCTGGGGATGCCAGGGCTCCCCCGTGCCACGTGGGAAGGTCCCAGAAGCGTCAAAAAGGGGGGGGGGCAAGGAGCAGCTCCCAGGTGGAGCAAATGTCTCCCTAAGGAGGTGGTTTGTGAGGCTGCAGGGGCAGCCGAGCCCAGGGTCCCCTCCTTTGCCCACACCCTGCTGTGGCCAGTCCATGCTGGGCAGCGGGCGGAGAGTCAGCAAGGCAGGGCCCAGGGACACAACCCCACCGTGAGGAGCTCCTTAGGCAGGGAGGGAGGGGACGGGGGATGCCAGGGGGCTGGGAGCTCAGGGGTGGCCGGTGACAGGGCTTCCTGACTCACTGGCTGCTCCCAACCCTCTGGGACTCTCAGGCAACAGGACTGGCACCAGCCACCCTGATGTCCCATCCAGGCAGAAGCCATCTATGCGATTTAGTGTGCTCGCATGTGCCCAGGAGATGTTGAGTCTGGGTGGCTGTGTGTTGGGCAAACCTTGGTTTTCAGGTCTCAGACCCGGAGATGGAGGTTCTGGAAAGACAACCAGACCTAGAGTGAGTAAGAGCCCCTCTCCCTTCCTCCAGCCCCTGGGCCAGGAAAGAGTCCGAGGTGAGCAGAGAAGAGCAACACCCCCAGTCTCCCCCTCGCCCCACCTCCCGCCTCCTGACCATCCAGATGGGGCAGGGGAGGAACACGTGTGGCAGACAGGAGGGGAGCAGGACAGAGAAGGGGTCTCCCGAGGACTAGGGGCGGGTGTTGGCCGCCAGCGCTGCTCAGAGTTAAGGGCCTGGCACTCGGACCGCAGGGTCGTCGTGGGGTTGCA